ACAACTCCTTGAATCCAGTGACTGAGGTTGGGAGTAAATTCAATTTTGTTTGGTCAGGTTAAGTACTAGGATGACTAAATACAATTCAATCAGATTAAACCCTGTCACAAAGAGGCTGGTTTTCCTTAGTGTAAACATCAGATCAGCACCCTCATTATCTTTTGCCCAGACTATTACAATCTCCAATCTTTCTGCTTCATCTCTGCTGTCTCCATTGTCTGCCCTGCTGCTGGAGGAATATGTAAACGTGATCCTGTCTTCTTCATCACTAACAATATGTGAAATATTTCACGTTGACTTCAGGCTAACATCCAAATTCCTTAGAATCACTTTAAAGATCCTACATGATCTGTTCTTCACATACAGACTCATCTATAAAGACTTCCCTAATTCTTTCAGACAAAGTTAGTCATACTTCCTTTGGGCTCTGATTGCGGAGTGCCATCTATTATGTCACTTGTCTCATTTGAGTCAAATCATTTTATATATCTGCCTACTGGTCTGTGAATCCTTAAGGGAAGAAACCAAAATTTATTCATCTTCATATCTGAAGTGTCTCTCACTTTCCCTCATGCAGTTCCTGTCTCTCCTAGTTTCCTACCTCCTACTATAGAGGACTTGACAGGTAAAATAACAACAATTAAAAAAACAATAACTGCAATAACAATAATGATAGTCTTTATCAAACCCTTGCTAGTATCAGATATGATTGTACTCAGTTTTTTACATGGATTGTGTAACTTAATTCTCATGAATGCATTATGGAGAAGGCTTTTTGTTTTTGTTTTTGTTTTTACCCTTGCGTTGCCCCACAACGCAAGGACAGAACTAGTCTTCCGGAAGTTAAATAAATGCCCATTGTCACACAGGTAGAAGTGGCAAAGTCATCAGTGTGAACCTAGATAGTGTGATGTATCAAATCTGATTTTTCAGTATAAGAAATGATTATCAGCACAAAATATTAGTGAGTTTTCAATGTGGTCTAATTGAAAAAAAAATAAATTATACCCATTCATGTAAAGGAGGTGACCTTATTCCTAATAGTCTGCTAATTCAGATAAGGCTATTTTTATATGTACGCTGTACAAAATCCTTATAGTTGTATTTTATAGGCACGGAGAAGACCTGGAGTAGAGCATCATCAGTAATTAAGAAGTTGAAAGAAAGAATAAAATATATGTGTCATAATTTTTTTAAAAAGCACATTATTTAAAAATATCTCCAGGGGCGCCTGGGTGGCGCAGTCGGTTAAGCGTCCGGCTTCAGCCAGGTCACGATCTCGCGGTCCGTGAGTTCGAGCCCCGCGTCGGGCTCTGGGCTGATGGCTCAGAGCCTGGAGCCTGTTTCCGATTCTGTGTCTCCCTCTCTCTCTGCCCCTCCCCCGTTCATGCTCTGTCTCTCTCTGTCCCAAAAATAAATAAACGTTGAAAAAAAAAATTTTAAAAAAAATTAAAAAAATAAAAAAAATATCTCCAGGTGTAACAAACTGCAAGTTTCATAATACAACAAAAGTAATGTTTCTTAAAGAATTTTGGCCATCACTTTATATTGAAGAGACTGTTTTGACAAGTGACAAATGCAGTATAATGTATATGCTTATGTCTAAGAACAGTTTCACTGAGAAGCAGATCCTGAGATACAAGTTTGACTGTAGTAATTTTGAGGAGGAATCACAGAAAGTACCTGGGGAGGCTGGATGAGGAAATAAGACAGGAAGGGAAAGTAGCTGGTAAAAAGATACACTGGCAAGATGCTTACCTCTGTGGGCACCTGAGAGTCAGTCTTGCTGGGAAACTCTGGTACACATCATAGAAAACATCTCACAGTTATCTTACCATAGGACTGTCTATTCTCCACCTTCCCTCCTTCATTGGTTGATACTTGCTCCAGGGGTGTTAATTTCCTTCAGAGTATCTAATCTGTTTCCGTTCAGAGATGAGGGAAAGCACTCACTTGGCTAACTGCAGTTACAGAGGTTCCTCTATATAGAGGTTTATAGAGGTTCCTCTATAGAGGTTTATAGAGGTTCCTCTTGGCATGTACCAGGATTGTGAATGGTAAGGAAATACTGGTGGTCCACTGGCATCATCTGCTACAGCCTATCACTCACAAGCCCATTCCTCCAGTAAAACACATCTTCACCTTGAGCCAAAAACATATATATTAACATAGATACATAAATACATACATACATAAGACAAATAAATGTATATACCATGTATATAATTGCTGTGTTCAGCAGGATATTTGACACTTCAACCTTAACGTGGTCAGAATTGAACTCACCTTCGCCCTCAAGCCTTGCAATCCTCAGATGTGCCCCTCACACACTGTGTTTTTATGTCAGTCTGTATTTCTTTTCTTTTTTAATATACTTTACTATCAAACTGACTAACATACAGTGTGTAAAGGGTGCTCTTGGTTTTGGGGGTAGGTTCCCGTGGTTCATCACTTACATACAACACCCAGTGCTCATTCCAGCAAGTGCCCTCCTCAATGCCCATCACCCAATTTACCCTCTCCCCCATCCTCCCATCAACCCTCAGTTTGTTCTCTGTATTCAAGAGTCTCTTCTGGTTTGCCTCCCTCCCTCTGTGTTTCATAAGATCAACTGCCCATGTCCAAAACATGGGAGTCCTCCTTAAACTACTTCTCCCAGTTACCAAGCCATGTCAGCTCTGTTCCTAAATGTATGTTGAACCTGTCTTTGCAGACCACCTTCAGCTCTCACTTGAATTTCTGTAACACTGTCAGGGGGCTCTCTTAAATATCCTATAGCACCCTATTAAACTCTACTTACCATTCTATATCTCCTATTCTATTACAAACCTCTTGAACTCAGGGACTAGGTTTTGTTCATTGTTGTATTTCCATTTTGGATCCGGGCTTCTGTCAGACCTCAGCAGATCATTGTGACTTAATGAATGAGTAGCAGAGATCTTTTTACTTATGTGTGGTAATAGTTTGAGCTCACAGAGATAGAAACAATTGAAAACATTTTTATGAAGGCAAGCCTTATTTGCATACGATCAATCTTGCATCCTTTTGTGTCTGCCTATTTTCTGAATAGATTATATACAGCTGTTAAATGTCACTATTGATTGCTTATAGGGTATTGCTCTGAGTGCAATTCTTTCTTAATAAGCACGTCATATGTATAATGTCTCACCTTAATGATTAAAAACTAATTTGCCTTTTTGGGAATATCAGTTGCATTCCTAGAGCATTGTTAGGTATGATGGTTTGCATGAGTAGGTGCAATTATCCTGAATACTGATATAGTGAAGCTTGGGTCTTTGGCTTTGTTGAGAAGAATGGGTGACTGTACATAATTATAGCAAGGTGTGTTGAATTACTTTAGCACGCTTTTCCAGACTTGTGCATTTTATGTGACAGCATCCAGCTCACAATACGTCCTTAGAAATCACTATTTCATATGCTATTATATATTTTTTAACCATTTTGTTTGATCCTAAAATGAATTTCAGGTTTTTTTCCCTAGCATTTAATGCCCATTTCATGGTATTATTTTAATATTTCTCTCTAATTCTTTTCATCCTATTTTAAAACATCAAAATCTACTTGTTTTATAGATATTGTCATAAATAGTAAACACTGAGATTAAAAATTAATAAATGGACACAATAAAAAAGGAAATGTTTGTATTTTCAAATTATATAACTAAAATATTTTATTTTATTTTATTTTCTAGGATAGTTAATTTTGCTGGCTTTAATTACATTGTCGTGTTTTCCCAAGCTGTAAGGCAACATCTCTTATTGTAGATCCGTAGCTCCACAGCAGTATTTAATATATCCTTTTGAGATCATAGTAAAACAAAGTGTTGAAACGACTGGAAAGAATATTTTAAGTAATGTTTTGAATGTTCTGGTGCATGTATATACATCTTGGTAGAATCTAAGCATACTTCAAATCCTGCTATGGTTTGTTTCCTCCTCTAGACGAAATAGTAGCCAGTGTCCTGGCAAAAGCTGAAGCCTTAGATCCTTCTGCATTTAAGTGGAAACTGCCTGTTTCTAGATTTCCACTCTCTTTTTTGTTATCAGGTTATCCATATCAGGAAAATCATTGAATTTGATAACTGATTGAAATTTTATCCTATTTTAGTTTTGAAGTAACTCAAAAATTTCACAAACTTAGATCAATTCATCATCCTCAAAAAAGCTTGGGTGACCTGCTGAACTAGGAATTACATGAGATTTGAGATCACGTTGCTGCCTTCATGTGGCTTATAAATTAAATAAATCATAAATATGTAAAAATAGCAATTACACATAATAAATCGCTTTTAACTATGCCAAAAGTTAAAGCCTACATTCTTTTTGGTATCTTGGATTTCTTTCATAATGAATAAAGCTACATGGGATTTCTGGTTAAAATTTCCACAAGAAATGTGATAATGTCTGGCTTGGATCTTAAAGTAATCTTATTATGTAGTTGTATCAGTATATGCTTATTTAAGATTAAATCTTCATTTATTTCATTGTAAGACTGTGTTTTCCTTGTAGAACTTAAATGTTACCCAGCCATTGAAACATACCACAACCGAAACTGATCAACTAAGCATAATTATAGAAGTTGGATTTCCAGAACTTCTCAGGAAACATATCTAAACCTTAACCATGTACCAAATGGAAACAATTTTAACTCGTAAAAAGTGTTCACATTACTATTAGGTAACAATAAGAAAAGTGTACATTAACAAGAACATAACATTTCAATGCACTTCTTACCTAGTATTTGAATCCCTGATACAAAAAAATGATAATTATTTCGTTAAGAGCACATGTGAAAGGGATAATTAATGAATTCCATGAATGAACAGAGTAATTATTATCATGTACAAGCTCTGTTTGGAAAAGTATTAGACAAAGTCCAGTTTTTCACAGATGTTGGATAACACAGTGAGTAAATAGCAGTGTAAGATACACTATAGTTTTGCATTTGACATTGCTTTTTTCTTTCTATGTCATCTCCAGTTGTAAGCACAAGATGTACCTGGAAAGGCTGCCAAACACCAGCATCATTATCCCATTTCATAACGAAGGTTGGACTTCACTCCTGCGTACTATCCACAGTATAATTAACCGAACCCCAGAGAGTCTGATAGCAGAAATCATTCTAGTAGATGACTTCAGTGATAGAGGTAAGATACAGTTAATGATATTCTGTTATTACCTACGTAATCATTACAGGCTTTAAAAAATGCCAGAAGATTATTGTGATATTTCTAATTCTATCTGAAAGGTGATTATGAAGTTTTGTCTGTGTTGTGATTTCATAAGTGTTGGCCAATGGATGAGAAGGTATTGGTGTCATTTGCGAAACTATAAGAAAATTTGAATTACATTTCTGTTGTAAATTAGATAGGTATTGGCAAAATGCCCCAAATTCTACTTTCAGCTTCAGAACAAATACTGCAAAATATGCTATTGTAAGTACATATGAATGGGGAGATATTCCAGTAGATTTATAAAATCTGTTCTTGTTTCTGAGGAACATCTGCTCTATTATTTACCAGTATGGTATACTCTAGTCTGTGCTTGTCACTTCATAAATACTAGAAATTGTAAGTAACACAAATATTTTTATTTGGCAATTCTAGCTATTTTGTCATATTTGAACAATAAACCAAAAAGTCTGGTATGTATTAGGAAATTTGACATAAGCTTGAATATACCTACCATTCTGAGAAACATCATGTGGTTTATAAGAGGGGAATAAAATTATAGAAAGTTTCTTGAGATTAGGACTTCATTGATCATAGTTGGTCTAAATGTGAGAATTGTTCTCAAAGGAAAGGAAAGTTTCTCTTTCTTGGCTGATGTGAGTGGACAGGAAGAAACGTTTTCTAATGATGTTGATCTATTTGGGAATACAGTATTCTACCTTATATTTCATTGCATGAAAGAGCTATGCTTTACTGTAAGAAAAATGGCAGTAAAAGAGTTTAATTGCATATTATTCTTATGCCTCACAAGAGAAAACATCTTGAAATCAAGTGGGTTAATTAAAGTTTTGGAAATTTCATTTGAAGAAAAAATGTCAGTTTCTTCATAGTATCTAAAAATTCTGTGTAAGTAAAATTGCTCAGTGTGTTAATCTTAAGATTTCTTTAACAGAGTTCCAGTCTTGAATAATTTGCTTCAAATACTAAGTCATGATTTACCTAATATTAATTTGTGTTGAAATTTACATGACAAAAATGAGATTATCTAACATCATTCCATTAAAATAGTAAACTACTCACTTGGTAATTTAGGTTGATTCAAAGCAATTTTTGCCTTGTGTTGCTTAGGTAGATATGCACTCAACCCTACCCGAGAATGCAAGCCAGTGTCTAAAACTGAAATTTATTACTTAAAAAATTAATTTAAATAACACATTGACTTCTTTTTTTTTTTTTCTAATTGAGATTGCTTATTTCCAAGTAGTCATTAATACCCCAGGCTAAAAATAAGCATTTAATGTGTTACAGCTAAAACTTTAAACTTTGCTTTTAAACAAAAGAATGAAAATGAGGAAGAAAGATCTGGGACTGCACATCACCAGATAAATGGTCTTTTGTGGTTGACTGGTACTAAGAGAAATAAGATAGTGTATCTATGGAGCGTTTTCTACATAATTAACTTTGTCTTGGTAAACTGTTTATTACAGTGGAATTTTGACCTGAGGGTAATATAGTAGGAAACATTTGGTAGCAGAAAATTGTGGTTTACAGAGCATTTTTTGCTGAATGTTCTCAGAGGCATTTTTCAATTGAACATCTTTTAAGGGGGAGAAAATAGTGGCATCTGCATTTGTCTTGACTTCAATTCCCTGTCATCTTTTGTACAATAGCAACTTTGATGGACTATCCTTCTGCATATAATGTCACCTGGGAAGTAAGTGACAGAAGAGTGTTAATATAATTAGTGTTAGGGAAGTAGAACAACAGAAAAAAATAATATTTAGGATAGTAATGGTGATTTTGACTTTTCTATTGGACATTTTTAAAGATAACAATTATTTTAATATTTTGTTAAGCCTTTAATATAGATATTGTATTCCTATAAACTATCAAGTCAAGAGTATTATTTCATGATCATTAAACCTTCAAAAGGTTAAATTTTTTGAATATTGCTTTTTATTGTGTTAAATTGTCAATATGTGTAAAAGTAAACTTTGAAAGAAATAAGTGATAAAAATAGTTCTATAATCTCTCAGAATACTTCATAATTCTAAAGTTGCATGTAACAGGAAAGACTCTTCTTCCAAATTTTTGTTTTAATTAAAAAAAAGTCTCCTCTGACAAAATATGAGGATTTAGGTGGACCTAAGAATCATCAGTCCTGCTTCCTGAATTATGGGAAATCATAAAATTAACATGACACACACAAGCTACAATTCTAACACCAACTATTAACTATATGACATCAGATTAATGAGTTCTGTGTCTTAGATTTTTTATCAAAATGGAGATAAGTTCTTAGCTATCTGAGTAATTCCTCATAGAGAGGTCAGGATGGAGAGCTGCCTTGGATGGTTGAGCAAATTGTGCACTGCAAAATAGAGTAATTGCTCTCAACTATTTCTACTCATCAAATACTCCCTTACTATTATAATATAAAAAGTCTCCATACTTTTTTGTGGAGATCTTCTCAATTTAATCATTTATCTATCTATCCATCCATCCATCCATCCATTCATCCATCTACCCACCTATCATCTCCAGAAGGAACAGAAGTCAGAGGGGTTGTGAAGACAAATTGTGGTAATTCATAGCATGTTAGAAAAATTAAGGCTGCTTTAACATTTAAAAAATCAAAATTTACCAATAAGCAAGTAACTTACTACAGATGTGGAAAAAAAACTACCCTGTAGAGGTTTATCAAAAGGAGGATAAAAAGAGCATGTTACCCACCTATATTATAGGAGAGGCCTTACATGAGTGTTTTTCAAAATTCCTTTCAAGTTTATTTTCTCCATTATATGAGAGGGACGATATCTTAAGACATCTCTTGTTTACAGAGCCTCTAAGACAGAGACAGTTTTCCTGCTCCTTTTTATTCTGATCCTATCTCTAGCTATGCTGTTAAAAATTGTTATACTTGAAAGTATACTTATACATTTATGTAGACAACACAGAAATTGTAAGCCTGTAACATGCAGAGTCTTTCCACCAATTCTTTAAAAATCAAACTAAGTAGGCCAGATAAAATTTAAAGTGTGGGAAGATAGGGGCTTTTGGCTTCCTTTAGAAAATTATTTCTGAAATGTTTTACTTTATATTTATTTTCAGAACTCTGTTCCAATTTCCAGTCTGTTCAGCATATATCTAAACACTTTTGCACTATGGTTCTTCTACTGGATATTCTGCAATGTCCTTTGGCCGAAGGCAATAAAATTTTGACAAGACTTAATCAAATATTACTGCCTTATATTTTATGTCCTCTAGGTCAATAGAATAGCTATATATGTAAAAAATAAATAAAAAGAGAGAAGCCAGCATGTTGGCTATTTTAATAGCACAAGTTTAGTATCACTTGGAATTCAGAGTTCCAAAAAATGTAAGCGATCTAGTAATTGGCAAATTCTGTAGTAGTAGTTTTCATAGCAGTAGAGAAAAAAAACCACCAAAAAGTTTCATAATTATAGAGTAATTACGAATATTACAAAGTGATTTTTAAAAATCTGCTTGAATAGGGTTGACCCAGTTATCAAAATTAAAAAACAAAAAGTACACGCCCTTTTCCAGCCCTTCTTGCTTTACATATTCTTCCTTAAGCAAGCTTGGTAAACAGAATATTGTTTTAGCCTCCTATCATAAGCCCTCTGTCTACAGAAACATGAAGGTACAGGTCTGCAGGTAAGTTTTCCACAACATTATGTTTTTGCTACCTGAAGCTCACCAAAGTTAGTGAATGTGATTATTTTCTTCTTCCCAGTAAGCTCTCAGAAATACATTTAACAACTTAACTTGAGGCCTATAACAAGGCTTCATGATGACTTTAAAGCAGGACTAATCCTGGGCTTATCTCCAAATTCCAGGCAACCTTAACAGCATCCACATGGAAAAATGTTGAAATGTGTGAAATAAGCTGGGGCTTAACCTCAGAGATAGGGCACATTTGAACCTGACAATTCTCTAAACTTTGTGTGCTTAGATGAATGCAAGTTCACATTAGGATAGTCACGGGAGAGTTGCTGACACCTTTCCCTTAATGCAAGTATGGGGGTACAACTGGGCACTGGGTACACACACGCAAAACAGGTACACTCACACTCATTCCCTCTTGTCCCTGCTTATTCCAGAGCTGGTCAGGAAAGGTAGGAGTTGAATATTTCAGATTCACAAAGATCTGCTATGTTCCATGTACTAGTTGGAGGGAAAAATCCGAAACTAGAAATAATCCTCCCAATCTGGCAAAGCCAGCAACTTTAAGAAACCCAGTGTACTTTCCTGTAGATAGCATAAATCCTTGTTCCTCAAAGTGTGGTCCACGGACCAGCAGCATCAGCACCACAATGAAAGCTTATTAGCAGTGCAGACTCTCAGGCTCCATCCAAATATATCAAAATCTTTATTTCAACATGATCTTTGTGTAATTTTTATATGAATCAAAGCTTCAGAATAACTTTCATGTATTTCAGAATTGGGGCTGAAGCTTCATTGAGTGATATGAATGCATAAATAGCCTAATTTCAAAATGTCCTGTTTTTGTGTATCTTATTATAAACACATTTTTCTATTTGTTTTTATTGCCTACTTTGCAATTGATATTGGATTTATAAATCTGTATGGAAACACTGGGAGGGAAATTCTGTAACATTATCTCTACATTATTTTAGATATTAATTTTACATTTGTTATTATATTTCTTTGACAGATTTTGGCATTTTCACAAATTTGTAGACATTTCCTCCATCTTCTGATGAATTCATTTTATAGCATTGTATGTTTAGTTTTAGGTTATTGCCATTCTTCCCTCTCGCCAATTTTCCTTCTCTTCCTAGCATTTTGTAGATCTATTTTGCATTGGATTCATTCAGTAATTTCCATGCCAAGTTCAGAAAATGGAAAAGAAATATATATTTGTATATCTATAATATATATTGCTTATATAGAAATATATATATTACCAACCAATAGCAAAGCAATTTCTG